GTAACTCCATTCATGTAAAGTTAAAAAGTAAATTCTTGCTTAGGAGTTCGTACGTAAAATGAGGAAATGCTTATTCTGAAAGTCAATAGTGATATCTTTGGGGGACAGAGGAGGATGGGAGGGATAGGAAGGCTTGGGGATTAGGGTGGCCGTTTCCATTTCTTGGCCTGTGTGGTGGTAACAAGGCATTCACTTTGCAATCATTTGTTAAACTGAATGTTAGCTAAGTCTCAGAAGAAAAAATAAAGGATAAAGGGAGACCAAAAATAGCCTGGGGCAGAGTGATCATGTGATGGAGACTTCTCATTGTTGGCAGGGATGACGGGTGGGTGCCGACAGGTACGGGAGGTGGGAGTGGCCCTCCCTGGAAGGGGCACTAGGTGGCCATCTCAGGGCCCACCTTTGAGCCACAGGCCACCTCCTGACCCAGAAGGAGGTGGTGATCTCTCTGGAGTTCTAGACCATTCTACATTTCTGATGTTTTCTTGGATGGGTCACCCAGAGTCCCCTCAGCCTTGCTGTCATACAAAGCCTGTGTGCTTAGCGGGGGGCTTGGCAGGGGCATGGCCTCCCCATACCTCAACCCTGATGCTGTGGGTTTTCGCTGGCACTCTGTGAGGTAATGAGATGCTCTCCTCCACGAAGCCCTTCCCGAGGCTCCCACCCAGCTCTGGCTCTGGGGCCTGCCTGGCCAAACCCTGCAGGACATGCTGGCTGCTTTGTTCCTCATCGCTTGCTCTTCCCTGGCTCACCCACAGGCTTTGTCTCTGCAGGTACTGGCACTTGCTTTCTCACCTCTCCCTTGGCACTGGGCAGTGCCCGTGAAGGTTGCAATCTCCGAGCCCTTTATCTGGGCTCCACAGTACATCCCACACAGGTTCCTGGATCAGTCCTGGGGCAGCGGGGGACAAAGAGCAGCTAGAATGTACTGCCTTTCTGAGATCCAACCCCAATCCAGGCAGCAGGACAAAGGGACCTGGCATGTCAAAGGAAAAAGCAGATGCGGGTGGTGGGGGCCAGAGGCCAGGTTATCTAAGCGTCGGCCCAACAGGACATGCCTGGCCACCCACCAGCCTGGGAGCATGGGTGGGCCTCCGAGTCAGCAAATATTGACCTAGTGCCCTCCCTGCACCTGGCCAGAGCTTGACCCCCTCAGCCAGTCGTAGTGCTCAGAGCTGGCCTGGAGTTTAGGTGATCCCAGCTTTCCCCTGGAAAGGAAGTGGGGAGAGGTTATTGGACCAACCCAAGCCCCAGCCCAAGACACACCATCCCACCCTGCGCCGTGCTCATGAGTGTGGCAACCTTCCAGGCTGCCCTCACCCTGAAGAGACCCAGAGCTGTCTCTGGTCTACTGTCACTGTGGCCTTGACTGATGGTAACCTGGAAGAGCTGACATAGGCTTTGGAGCCAGCCAGGCCTGGGCCCCGTCCCAGTTCCTTTTACGTGCTGTATGACCTGGAATAAGTTACTTCACTGCTCCGACTCAGTTTCCTCCTCTGTCACCCTGCACAGGGTTGTTGGGAAGATTCAACCAGTGAATGAGCATGAAGGCGCTTATTTCCCCCATGATGTGGGGGTGACAGGGAAAGGGAGCAGAGGCCGGGGTGGGGACATCCGCAGCCTGGCCGGAGGTTCAAAGAAGAGGGTCTGGGGGCAGCAAGAAGGCTCTGGGTGGTGTGAGATCAGAAGAACTGGATGCTACCATTACTTAACCTTTGATGAAAGACTCAGTAGATGAATCCCCATCAAAAGGGTGGAAGGGGAATGTGAAACAGAATTTCAGATTTCTTATAGAACCCAGACTTGCTGGACCCACTGAGGCTGGAGGAACCTCCAAATCTGTTACCCTGAGAAAATTTTTGAGCCTTGAATCAAAATAATCCCCTGTAATTATCTTCAAACAAAACAGTAGTTTAGCTGAATTAGTAAAGAATGTTCACCTTGAGCATTGCTCTCTTTTAAAGAATTATCTGTGTGAGATCAAACTGTCAGCAGTAACTCTAAAACACAGATGAGTAGTTTCTGGGGCAATGAGTCTCAGTCAGTGGGGTGAAATAATATGGGGAGAAACAGTGGGAATGGTGACACAATGGGAAGAACGTAACCAGGGTCACTGACCTGGACATGCGGAAATTGCTTAATGGTTGAATGATCTGCTGTGTATATTTTTACCAAGGCATGTTACACAGAGAAAGAAGGCGGCCTTGGATGGCCTGGTTCCCGGGTGAAGGAGATGTCAAGAGCCCACCCTGGTCCGTGAGACCCATCGAGCCAGGGGCAAGGGATATGGCTGATTTAAGGGCAAGTGAGGTGTGCTAGGGGCCACCTGGGTCGGGTGCCAGGTCACGGTGACACTTTAGGCTATGCTCTGTGGCCAGTGGGATGGCTAGTCCTGGGTTCCCAGCAGGCCAAGGGCTCCTTGTGAATGGAGTCCAGGCTGGCACCTCCTCTCAGGATCAGACCCGGCCCTGGGCAAGTCCTCCTGGGGCACCCCCACCCCCAGGGAGCCTCCTTGGCAGCAGACCTGACATCCCTGTGGAGTGGCCCAGGACTCACATCCCCAGGGCAGCTCTGGTACGTGGGTCCACTGGGACCCCACTGCTGGCCTTTCCCCCTCAACTCCCGCTTTCCTCCTTGTCAGTGGAGGTAATGATCGTAGCTTCCGCAGAGCAGTTATAAAGATGAAAGAATGTAGGCAAGTTCCAGGCGCAAGGCCTGGCACGTGTCAAGAGCCCAGTGATTGCTAATGTCTCTTCCCCATCCCTCATTCTCACCAAGACCCCACTTCTAGCTGTGTGACTTTAGACAGGTGTCCTGACCTCTCTGAGGAATTTTTTCATCTGCAGAATGAGGATAATGCTCTCTATGTATGCGTGCTTGTAAGAAAAGTAGGTGAAAGCTCTTTGGGAATCGTTAGGTTATGGGGCAAGAGGTTTGTCAGCACCAGTGCGAAAGAGTTCCAGGCAGGGTGGGGGATATGAGCGGGGGCCTTGGTCCTCTCTGTGAATTGGAGACAGGGCCTTGGCTAGTTTGCAAGGGAATTGTTGGAGGTAAGCGTGGCCATGGCTGAGCTGCAAGGTAGGTGAGCCCGAGGAGGCTCCCTGCACCCTGGGGCTGCCTCTCCCACCTCTCCTCTGCTCCGCACAGGCCTCTTACTCCACCTCTGCTCCCCACAAGCCTCTTACTCCACCCCTGCTCAGATTTTCTCCACTCAGGGTCCCTACCTGGCCTCGGCCCCTCATCAAACCAAGCCGGGCCAGCTCACCCACAAACTGAGGGCTGGCCCTTTAAGGCAGACACTTGAGCTTGCAGCAAACTTGTGACTGTTCCTTGGAATCCCAAGAAGGTGCCAGGGTGTGTTTGTCACAGCTAGGCTGTGGTGGGGGGTGGGGGGTGTTGGTGGGGGACACTCAGGCCAGCAGCTTTGAGGATTAGGGGCAGTGACCACACTCGGGTCTAGGTCTCCAGGAGAAATCACTTCCTGTCATGGCCCTGGGATTCTGAGAGGCCCAGAACTGATGCCTACTCACGATAGTCACCACATCCGTCCAACCCAAATGCATTGCTGTCGAGTGGATTCCAACTCATAGCAACCCTACAGGACAGGGTAGAACTGCCCCATAGGGTTTGCAAGACTGTGAATCTTTACGGAAGCAGACTGCCACATCTTTCTCCCGTGGAGCAGCTGGTGGGTTCGAACTGCTGACCTTTTGGTTAGCAGCTGAGTGCTTTAACCACTGTGCCACGAGGGCTCCTCACCATAACAATAGCCACCATTTACTAAGTTTGTCAGGTACTGTAAGGCACTACCTCTTCCAAGTTAAGACCCTCGGAGGCTCAAAGCGTTGGCAAGATCTTAGTGCCCCCCTAACGTGACTAAAAGGACCATCAAGGCTGAACCCTAAAGCATAGATACGGGGTTCCAACCAAATGCCGACTTTTCCCGTGGTGACTACTTCAGTGCTGTTTAAGTAATCAAATTTTCTTCCAAAAGACTTTCCAAAGCCCGTTTTGCTGGCACCCGGCACCCAGTTTGCCTTGGGGGGAGGGGAGCCAAGCCCCACCCACTAATGTCAAAACAACCTATGAGATGCCGGTTGTTGTCACGTTTCCTCAGCTAAGGACCCTCAGGTTCTGGGAGGGCAGGAGACGTGCCCAAAGTCACCTGGAGTGATGGCAGAGCTGGTGGCACCTCCTGCTCCTGGTCACTGCGTATCCTCTGGGCTCAGTTGGACTGAGGAGCACAGACTCCATTAGAATGTCGGGGCTCAAAAGTCACCATTTACCCTTTACTGCTGGTGTCGTTGGGCAAACCATCTCCCCTCTGTTTCCTCCTCCGTAAAGCGGAAGCAATAATAATTCCTGCTCACTGGCAGTCCCGAGGGTTGAACAGTGTCTGATCAGTGTACAAGGAGCCCTGGTGGTGCAGTGGTTAAGTGCCCGGCTGCTAACTGAAAGGTCGGTGGTTCAAACCCACCAGCGACTCCAAGGGAGAAAGATGTGGCAGTCTGCTTCCATAAACATTTACAGCTTTGGAAGCCCTATGGGGCCCTTCTCTTCTGTCCCACAGAGTCACTGTAAGTCGGAATCCAGCTGAGGACAGCGGGTTTGGTCAGTGTAGTAACAGCCCCCGCTTACATGCTGTGATTATAGCACCTCCCCCAATACCAGACCTCTTCTAAGTACTTTATATATATTAGTTTATCTCACAACAACCCATTATACAGTTGAGGAAGCTGAAGCGGTGAATGGGTAACTTATCCTTGGTCACACAGCTAGTAACCCCTGTTGTTAGTGGTTCCCTGGGCGGCCCTCCGGGGAGCTTTTCCTCTCGCACCAGGACCTCCCACAGTGGGCCCCGCAAGCCCGCCGGCGACCCTCGGCCCCCAGCTCGGCTCCAGGCCCACAGGGCGCGGCCAGGCGGTGGGGGCGTCGGCGGGCAGCTGGGCGGGACCGCGGGGCCTGTAAAAGCCGCGCGGCCGCAGGCTCGGCAGACAGCCATGGCGCAAACGAGCTGTGTGGTGGCGCTGGCCCTGGCCCTGGTGGCGCTCTGCCTGGTGGCACTGCCACGCGACGCCCGGGCCCGGCCTGGGGAGCTCAGGACCGGGGAGCGCCGAGAACTATCGCCCGACGACCCGCAGGTGCAGAAGGTGACGCAGGCGGCCGTGGCCACTTACAACATGGGCAGCAACACCATCTACTTCTTCCGTGACACGCACATCCTCAAGGCGCAGAGCCAGGTGCGCTGGGCGGAGGGCGGCGGCGTGGGAGAGGGACCAACACCGGGAGGTGAGCGAGGGAGGCGCCCTGTGGGTGCCAACAGAGAGAGATCAATGTTTTAATGCAGTATGTTTTAGAACAGAAATTAATGCCAAAAATTCATGATGAACAAAATGCTGGATCTAAATTTTAAATAAAGGACCCAGCCTGTATTTAACTTATGCAAGTTGCCTCACTTGCCTTATCCTCGTCATCCCGATAGATGGACTGGGGAGGAGGAGGGGGTGAGGAAGGTAGGAGGTGAGGGGGATGGGGGGCAATGAAGGACATGGGGGGATGGCGACATGGAGGGAAGTGAGGGAGATGGGGGCAATGAGGGCCATGGGGAGATGGGGACCTGGGGGAGGTGAGGGAGATAGGGGGGCAATGAGGGCCATAGGGGGATGAGGTGAGGGAGATGGGGAGCAATGAGGGCCATGGGGGAATGGAGTGAGGGACATGGGGGCAATGAGGGCCATGGGGGGATGGGGTGAGGGAGATGGGGGACAATGAGGGCCA